AAAAAATAGAATAAAAATATATTAAATTGTGTTTAAATGAATAATTTTAATATAAATAATAAGATTTAATTTTAGCCCATATCCTACCTAAAAAAGAAGAAGAAAAGACGCCAATAACACCCCAATAAACCGCGGTCTTATTTGCGTGATCCTCTGGGAGATGTTGTTGCCGTTGTTCACGGGTGTTATTGCATTATTATTGTAGTGTTATTAGAGTTATTTTGCAGAGGTTATTGTGGTGTTACCGCAATGTTATTTGTGTGGTCCTCCGGACGGTGTTATCCTATGTTATTGTGGTGTTATTGTGGCATTGTTGGAGTTGTTTTGCGAGGTTATTGAAGCGAAACTACGGTACTGGTGGTATTGCGGTTGGAGTTGTTTTGCAATAACACCACAATAATCAATTTTTCATCATTTTTTAGGTGGACTCAATCAAATACACGTGACAAGATTTTATTAGAGTTCAGATGCAAAGCTGTATCGGGACTCCGTATATAATATTTTTTCGTCAAAAAGACCTCATTGTTTGTGAGCAACTCGTGTTCGGCTCGCTAAGCAAAAGAAACATACATGAATAAATATTTTGCACTCAACATGTCAGGCTCTGTATGTATGATTATTTCTTCAAAAAGACCTTATTGTTCGCGAACAACTCGTTTTAGTGTTCGGCTTGCTAAGCAAAAGAAACAGACATGAATAAATATTTTGGGCTCAACATATCAGACTCCACATGTAAGATTTTTTCGTCAAAAAAACATCATCACCCACGAAGAACTCGTGCTGAACTCGCCAAGCAAAAGAAACAGATAAATAAATATTTTGCGCTCAACATGTTCATGAGTAAACACAAATAAGAGTATTTTTTAAGAAGTTAATCACAAGTAAAACTTTGAGATTGCTCAATTCGACACTTTCTACACCCTCTCACCGTCTTCATCATAAATCAGTATTCACAAATCAACCAGCTGTATGAATTTAATAATTTAATGGCATTTTACGGAAACGCAACAAAACGCAGTTTTCAGATAATCTGCGAAACAAAAGGCCGCACTTATAAGCAGTGAGGCCCGAAGGGGCAAAATTTCACCCATTTCGAAGCTTTTACTCGTGATCTTCCCGCATTTCTCATATACCTACCCTGGTATCGGAATCCTGATTCCCAGCTCGATTATTCTGACATCAAGCATGAAGGTTACTTTCCTGAACCCTAAATCCTAATCTGTTCTCCTTTTCGTTTCAATTTATCTTATAATTTTCAACGGATTTGGTCAATTTTGCAGCATTTTGTTACTTATCAATATTCCTGTGGAGTTTTTTCGTTGGTTTTACTCTAGAGCTAACTATTTTGATATTTCCACGTATTTTTTTCGCAGATTTTCTGGGCATCTTCGGACTTCAGTTTAGTGCGGGTTTGTTGAGAAACTTGTTCCTTCTGCTGATCTTGAGGCGCTCTGAATGCAGGCTTTCTGTTTACAGAGTGATTGAATTTCTTGCTCTGAATCTATTTTATTAGCGGGCACCACCTCAAGACTAGGCTTTTCGCTCCCTTTGAAACTTCATATAATTTGGATCTTGCTTGGATTTTCATTAAGCTTGACATCTTTTCTTGAAGAGTATCGTTTCTAGTGAAATTCATTTTTTGTTCCAAAATTATAACTATGGTTATGCTTGATTTCTTTCTTCAGCTGCACAGAGTAGTTCAATGAAATCATGAACAACCACACATTTGGGCCAGGAAGCCCCAAGCCCTCGCATGCTTATTCCAGAGGGGACATTGATTTGGAATCTGGAAACTTTAGAAAACACAGAAAGCCAAAAAGTTCGGTGTCCAGATTTATCAGAATGATCAAATCTATTGGAAACCAAATCAGCTTTTTCTATAAGCTGCACTCCCTTGCAATTTTTATTGCCTCTTTAATATTTGGTGTGGCTGTGTTGATTGTTCTGTCAATGTATGAAAATAGTTTACGGTTGATGAAGAACCAAAATGACAAATTAAGTTTAGCTTCTGATTTTTATCCTTTGAAGAATTTGCATAATCTTGTTATGGTAGCCGGACATTCTATTTACATTAGTAGGAGCTGTGGAAAGTTTGATAGGGAAGACTCATGGTTCTTGGAGCCTTATCAAAGAAATCCAGGCCAAGCTTCTACTTTCGTTGCTCATATTAAGGAGGGAGTGGAGATTGCAGCTCAAGATGAGAGTGCTCTTCTTTTGTTTAGTGGTGGGGAAACTCGTAAAGATGCTGGACCTCGGGGCGAGGCACAAAGTTACTGGGGTGTTGCAGAAGCAGAAGGGTGGTTTGGTAAATTATCTGACTTCTTCTTGTTTTATCATCGGGCTTCTCTAATTTATTTTAAAATTTATGGTTAATTTGAGAAATAATTTTGTGTTTAGTATGAAAAAAATATGCTATAAATGAACTATTCATGTTTCTGCAACAAATATAGGTAAACGATAAGATTGCCTGTTTGAGGTTATTTTCTAATTTCTCCGAGTATAGTTGTATAAATTTGTGCATTTAGTGCCGAATGAATTAAAAACTTCTAACTTCATATCCATGCATGTATTCCTGATTGCTGTTGCTGCTCCTACTTTATAGAGAGAGAAGTCAGTTTTGAATATTCTTCTTCTGAGGAACCAATAAAACCTGTTGATTGATTCTTATAAGATAGCTATTAAGATGGAGTTCATGGTCCTGCTGTTTACTTTTTTCTTTTGATATGGTTTCTCTTACAAGTAACAAGTTTTGTAAGCTCATTATAATGACATGCTAATAACTGCCTATAGTGATTTTGCACAGCCTTTTGTAGCTCCATGCTCATAAATATTGCACTTGGTTTGTTACAAATTTTCCTCAGAATTACAAGTTTTCCTTGCATCAAGCTAAAAATTATCATTTCTATGAAAAGGTAGCCATAATTGAGGTGAGAAATTTTAATGCTAAATCAATGTTTCATCATAATAGGTTGGCCCTAGACCTCTTAATCTTCAATTCATAGGCAACACTATTTTTTTTTTCAAGTGAAATTTATAACATGTTTCATTAGCTTGCTAGATTAAGTGACTTGAAAATATTTTTATACATTTTTAGAGAATCAATAGAGATGTCCTATTGAGAATAAGTGAGACAGAATGAGGAGAATAAACACAATAATTAAAGTGTTCTTGAAATGCTAGAAAAATATTCCTTGTCTTTGAGGCTGGCCCCTTCTCTATCCATGCCTCAAAAGGAATAATAAAGACTATAAAACTATTTTCCTTAGTAAATTTGAACCCATTTATTATTCTTGGATGTTTATTTTAAACATTGAATGGATGCGGTTAATGGTCATCTATTTATACATGATTGCTATCTTCTAATCGAATTGTTTCTCATATTAAAAATCTCATCAATCAATTTGGTGTTTTTCTTAGTTTCTAGCCAAGGGTAATGATTGCCTATGTTGAAGAGTGAATTTGATGCTATTAGAGTGAACTTTGATATGTGAGCAGATTTTAGTTGAGTGTATTCTAATTTGTATTGTAAGGCGGAATCGCCTTGATTATTTATTTAATTTTTATCCTTGGCATCTCAATTTGAGGCACACATGTGGCTTTTATTTTATCTTTACATACAAGCTGCCCACATTAGTTTTTCATCATTTTAAATTCATTTTATATCAAAATTAGACGTTGAAATGAGGATTTAGAACATCTTTAAATTTCTTCTATGATGCTTTGTGCATCTTCCTGAACAATATTGCCTTTGATTTTTTTCGTTCTAGAATGATTTCCTTGAAAATTCTTGGCCTTGGTGAGGCATTTCAACTCAAGATATAAAGGCTTGAATAAAGCTCCCGATAACCATCTCTATCTTCACTGATCTCTCTTATTGAAAACAGTTCTTCAATGTCATCCAAATCATGGGCTTCATATAAAATAAGGACTCTACAGCTGTTTCTTTAGTTTCTCTTACTTTAGGTGGTTTTGCTAGATAGTAGATGTCTGTAAGAAAACTTCTTTAAAAAGAAAAAATAGCAAAATTGATTGATATAACGAGTTTAGCCTGATCACCTTTGCTCCTTGTCAATTAAAGCTTCGCTCGAAAGCAACAAAATCTGATGTATCTTAATAAGGCACCAAATGTGAACAATGAGATTTTGGAGTCCTAAAGTTCATGGGGTTTAGAGAAGAGAGAGAAAGAGGAAAGAGAGAGTAAGGAGAGTGAGAGCAAGAAAAGAAAAAAACAACAATTTAAGTGGTTCATTGTGTGGCCTTTCATCCATGATAGAGGAGCTTTTAATGATGAATGTTCATTTTTTCGTCTATCAAGTTCTCATAATAAACAAATATCAAAATTTAATAAACACTAAAGGAAAAATAAATATTATTACTGAATTCAAAATCAGGAATTACGATAAACAGTAGGGAAATCAGAAATTACAACAAAACAACAAAATCTGATGTATATTAATAAGGCACCATTGATTAAGTGGTTCATTGTGTGGCTTTTCATCCACGAAAGAGGAGCTCTTAACGATGAATGTTCATTTTTTCATCTATTAAGTTCTCATAATAAACAAATATCAAAATTTAACAAACACTAAAGGAAAAATAAATATTATTACTGAATTCAAAATCAGGAATTACGATAAACAGTAGGGAAATCAGAAATTGCAACAAAACAACAAAATCTGATGTATATTAATAAGGCACCATTGATTAAGTGGTTCATTGTGTGGTTTTTCATCCACGAAAGAGGAGCTCTTAACGATGAATGTTCATTTTTTCATCTATTAAGTTCTCATAATAAACAAATATCAAAATTTAACAAACACTAAAGGAAAAATAAATATTATTACTAAATTCAAAATCAGGAATTACAATAAACAGTAGGGAAATCAGAAATTGCAACAAAACAACACAACATTAGAACTAGGGTTGGATGTAGGGCGTAGGTGATATCGGCTGTGGTGCTGGCATGGAGGCCACTAGCAAGTTGGAAGGGGGTGGAGGGGAGAAACAATTGCCTTGCTGTTTTCGGGGTGGTGGCAGCAAGGGGAAAACAGTGAGGGTGAAGGTGTCGATGTGGGAAAGGATAAAGAAAGGTATAGGAAGGATAAATACCATGTGGAAACGGAGATATAATCGAAGCATTACTCAGCATCCTAGGATACAACCCGTTGAAGGAAAAAGATATGTCGACAATTGTATCAAAATAAATCACACAAATATTAAACCCTAAAAGCCAACAAAACACATATATAGTTCTAGATAACTAAGAGTGGGCCCTCTCCAATTGGGTGGCACTCCCAAGATGACTAGAAGGCCAGTCAGCCCTCAGGAACCCTGGACCGAACCAATCCAGTTGCAGATGCCCGCGCCATAAACATTCCTTTAATTACTTTGGTGTGGTTTTAACTTTCTAGCTAACCCTGCACCCTATGAGGAATTATTCCCCATGCTAACATTCATTTCTATCGAAGGGGACTTTGAACTTTGGGTGAATCGTAGTTGAGCATATTCTAATCTCAGCAAGGGAAATGAAGCGAGGGTAAAGGTAGTCGATGCGGGAAAGGATGGGGATAGGTTTAGGAAGGATAAACACCACACAGGGATCAAGATACGACCGGAACATCACTTAGAACCTTAGGATACAACCCGTAGAGGGAAAAAGAGACGCCGACAGCCATCTCAAAGTAAATCAAACAAAACTGAACCCTAAACACTAACAAAGCACATATATAATTCTAGATAACTAGGAGTCGGCCCCACTCCAGTTGGGCAACACTCCTATGATGACTAGAGGGTTAGCCGATCCTTAGGAATCCTGGACCGAACTGGTCCAAGTATAGAAGATTGTGTCATAAACATTCCGTCAATTACTTAGGTGTGGTTTCAACTTTCTACCTAACCCTAAACTCATAAACTATAAGACGAATTATTCCCCATGCTAACATTCATTGCTATCGAAGTGAACTTTGACCTTTGGGTGAATCTCAGCTGAACATATTCCAATCCACATTCCCAACTTGATTTTAGCGGACATTTCATTTAATTTATAGGAAAATTTAAATACGTGGCACGTAATTCTTATGTATTTACGTATCTCACACTTAAACTTCCATATTTACATGCATAGCACTTCGATGCTTTAAACTTGTGCATAAAATGTGTGTATCTAACTTTTATCAAGTATTAATAGTGCTATTTTCTATGTGATATTAAAGATTTGAGTGTCATATGTGATTATGAAAGTTTATCTGTGAGATATGTAAATACATGAAAATTGTGTGCTATGTATGTAAATATCCCTTAGTTTTTATCCTTTTGACATGCCCCCTACAGATAGCACCGTGCATGGCCCTATTTGATTAGAGAGAATACAAACTGACCGTACTCATGATAGAAGATTAGAAGCTTGGGTTAGAACTGTTAGCGAGAGGTGAATAATTAGGGAGCTTAATACTTTGGCTGGTTTTTATTTGTATGCTCCATAGATTGTGTAAGTTGATACTGTTTAAAGTCCTGGAGGGAGCTTATAGACTAGACTTGTGACACACCACCCTTTTTGAATCTTTTGATTTACTCAACTTGAGAGCCTTTGTGATGCTATTATTATAGGAAGGTGAACATTGCAAGATTCGTTTTGCAGATCAGTGGACTTTGATTTTATGATGAAAACCATTCCGCATGTTTGTAGTTTATGTTTTCCTCATCAATTTTCCATTCCATTCTTCCTGATCTATATGGTGCTGATATATCATTAACAATACGCAATGACTAGTCCTTGCTCTTACCATTTCTTACTAGAAGGAATTACTTGTAGAATATGTGTTCTATTAGTCTGCTTTGTTTATCTTTAGGTATTTGTGCATATTTTTGTAGATTGATAGTATTTTGCTCATATACAAATTCATTTTTCCAATTCTCATGGAAAAAATTTACAGCTTTGAAAAAATGTAATGAACAATGTCTAATAATAGCATCATAAGTGAGTTTTTAGGAAACTTGATACGTTACATTTGCTTTTCTGAATTTCTGTTGTTTAACGTTGTGCAGGGAAAGAAAATAATGTGAAAAATAGAGCACTCACAGAAGAGCATGCAAGGGACAGCTTTGAGAATCTTCTTTTTAGCGTTTGCCGATTTCGAGAGCTTACTGGTTCTTATCCTCGGAATATTACTGTGAGTTCTTGTATTGTTCTTTGCAAAGCTAAATTTGCTTTTTTTCAAGGAAGCAAGCTCTTTATACAAAACTCAGCCATAGTCGTTTGGAAATATGTCAATAAATATATTTGAGTATGCTAAGAGACCGTTTAAGGTCACTTTTGAAATAGATGATGGCACTTAAAAGACAATAAAATTAATTATATAAGTAAACCTTGATATCTTAAGATTTGGGATGTTCATAAATAGATGATGGCACTTAAAAGACAATAAAATTAATTATATAAGTAAACCTTGATATCTTAAGATTTGGGATGTTCATAAATAAACTAAATACTATGTGGGATAAAAAAATGAATACTATCAAGCAATTTACAAAAAATATGCATGGAGGATCAAAAGGAAAAACCCTTATGAATAAAAATAGATGGTGGCGAAATAATATTGTGCAAGAAAAGATTAAAATAAAAAGTTTCTTATAAAAATTAGTTTAAATGTAAAGGTTCAAAGAATTGGAAAAACTATGAGATGGCCTAATTGAAGTCTAAGAGAATAATTTGTAATACTAAGAATTCTATTTTTAATGATCTTTATAATAGATTAGAGACTAATTATGATGAAATATATATATATAAATTATTCAAACAAAGAGATAAGAAAAGTATTTTTCTTAAATGAAAATATACAACATAGGTGTGTGAGATATTTCGATAAACTTTTTAATGAGGATCATGAAAATACAATCAATTTTAATAGTTGTAATATTATAAATAACAACAAAATTTTTTATTTCCACCATCACATTAGTAAAAAAGAAGTTGATGTGGATTTAAAGAAAATGAATTGTGAAAAGGTTGTACAATCTAATGACATTCCAATAAAAGAGAAAATCTCAAAATTTCTTAACTTATTAAATTTATTAATATTATTTTAAAAACTAAAGAAGCTGTCTAAGTGGAGAAAGAGTCTATTGGTTCGTATTTCTAAGAAAAAATAAATACACAAGAGTGCAAATTATAGATGAATAAGAGAGAGAGTAACTGAACATAGGTTACGATGTGATACAAAAATTTCTCAAAATCAGTCTAGATTCATGTCAGGCAAGTCTACAATGGAAGCTAGACATTTATTGAGAAATTGGATGGAAAAGTATAGAGAGAATAAGGAGGATCAACATATAATTTATGTTGATTAAAAAAAGCTTCTGATAAAGTTTCAAGAGAAGCACTTCGGAGAATTCTTGAAAAGAAAAGGTGTTAATATCGTTTATATTCAAGACATTAAAGATATGTATGCTAGAGTTGTTACTTGTGTTCAAACTGAAGGAGGATTGACCAAATATTTTACTATTTCTATTGGATTACATTGGAGATTGGCTTTAAGCCCATATCTTTTTGCTTTAGTTATGGAGGGTCTTACTGGACATTTATAGGAGGATGTACCTTGGTGTATGCTCTTTACTGATGATATCCTTCTTGTGGATAAGAGGAGAGGAAAAGCCGAAGAAAAACTTGAATTATGGAGG